GGTGGCCTGATACTGAAAATCCAGGAAAGCCTTCTGTCATTAGTGGATTTATAACCAACATAAGGCATTACTCAAGTGGGTCGGAAGAATTTCACCTTTCTGACCTTGCTGAGCCCAAGCCTAAGCCGCACTGCCCACTTTTGACAAAATGCAATGAAGCCATCTCTTCACGCTCATCAACTGTGTGCCGCCCCGAATGAGAAGGCTTGCGTTGGTCATTGTCTGTTTCACTTCTTCTGAACAAGCGCTGGGCGGTCATTTGATTAAGCCGGTCCAGCGGGAGCACTCGGGTTACAGAAAATATTAGCCTTCAGCAGAACGCGCTCGGGGACAGAACAGTCAAACGCAATGAGGGGCTGACTTAATCATCTCATTTTACAGGATTAGAGGAGAAATGGCTGACTATTGTGTTTGGCCAGGCACAGAGCCCTGCTCAAGGTGACCAGAGAAGCAGATTCACAGCTAATACACAACATAAACGGTTTTGATAGATGCTTTATAAGGCTTTTTGGGTATATTGTTGAGTCAGCACTGTACCATCCCAAAGGGCAGAGTCATCGTCAACGTCAAGGGATCCCAAAAAGGTCCCCTTAGATATTGAACACTTGTTGGTTTTGCAATTGTTCCAAGCCAAATTTGATTGTGATTTTAAAAACATATCGCAAAATAATGGCAAGAAAACTTGTGTAGTCTGATTCACAAATAAATAATTTTAAAAAAAAAAAAAAAAGACTTTATTATTAAAAGAATCAATTCCTAAGTCAATATGCTGAGCCAGTCGGGATGAATTGTTCACTAAATGAACTTTGCTTCAAAATGAATAAAGAACTGTTTTGAGTACTTAAGATCTCTGAAATGTAAATCAACATTTGACTGGCTTATATGACAAAGTGTAGTTAAAGATGCACAACCGTGCAAAGGTTTGGGGTCAGTAAGTTTTTAAAAAAAATTTAACTACTGTAGTCTCTTATTTTAATAAAGGCTGCATTAATTTGATCAAAAATACAGTTAAAAAGAGTAATACACTGAAATGTGGTCATAAAGTAACGTTTCTATTTAAATACATTTTAAAATAGAATTAATTCTTGTGAAGTAGGGATGGTCAACGATTAATCGCATCCAAAATAAAAGTTTGTGTTTACGTAATATATGTATGTGTGGTGTGTATAATTATTTTGTACATATAAACACACACACATGCATGTATATATTTAAGAAATATTTGCATGTATATACTTTATATATATTTATACATAATTAATATTATGTATAAATATAAATATTTGATATATTAAGAACACATTTTTCTTAAATATATACATGCATGTGTTAGTATTTATATATACAAAATAATTATACACACCACACACACATATATCATGTAAACACAAACTTTTATTTTGGATGCGATTAATCGTTGCCCATCCCTATTGTGAAGAGTCGTCAGTGTCACATGATCATTCAAAAAATATGATGATTTGCTGCTCAAGAAACATTTCTTATTATTATTACAGTTGAAAACCATTGTGCTGCTTAATATTTATGTGGAAACGGTGATACATTTTTTTTTTCAGGATTATTTGATGAATTTATTTGAAATAAAAATATAAAATATTTGTAACATTATACATGTCTTTACTGACATTTTGTATCAATTTAATGTGTTCTTGCTGAACAAAAGCATTAACGTTTTTAAAAAACAATTGGGACACCCAACTTTTGAAAGGATATACGGTGTGTATGTGTATAATATATATATATACACACACACAATGTTTAATTTTAGTAAATAATATACAAGTATTTTACATTTTGGATTTATTTGCACCTGTAGGAATCAGCTGAGTCACTGCACCACAGACAGCAGGGGAAAACAGCACACATCAGGATTCTGTCAACCTCACAAGCAAAATGCAATCCTGCTCTCAGGCAACAAACACTTTTCTGTACTGCACACCCCCATGAAAGTCTATACAGCAATCATCAGATATGTCCATGAAATAGAAATGACAAATCTGTTCTTGTAAGGTACGTACAAAGCGTGACCTTCAGACGTGGATCCAGTTCCTCAGAACAGCCACTTTATTAGCAGAAATGGGAAGTAAAAAAATAAAAATAAAATCAAAGCTTATATAGTGTATAATCATCAAATATTACATCATTTTTAGCCACTAGTAAAAAATGAGCAACATTATTTATGCACTTGATCCTCGCCAAGCCCCGCCTCCCTTGGTTACAAAGCTTCGGTAGTAACGAACATTGAATATGCAAAGCTTCGGAATTTCTATATGTCTGTCTGTCCGTTTGCATTTTGATATTACAGAACAGCGTAAGCGTGAAGCGACGTGCTGAAATTTTAATAATATAAACAGTCTAAATAAATAAAAAATAAAAATGAAATTTAAGTAAATAAAAACGAAATTTAAATACATTTAAAATAATTTAAATAAAGAAACACAAAAAATAAATTAACAAACTGTAATAGCCTACATAAGATTAATTTAGAATGATAATAACGGGTCAAAAGGATAATACATTTTGTTTATATTATTCTATTTTCCAAAATGTCAAAGCAACGCAGCTTAACCCAAAATACAAGCTCAGACATGCACTTCTGTCCATACAAACTCTGCTGTTCTGCCAGAGAAAACTCCCATTGCAGGAACACTTTTAGTAGTCCAAAAAGAAGCAAATATGAGTGAAAAAAAAATTATATATATAAAAAATAAAAAAAATAAAAAATACCAACCCACCGAAACGAATATTCAAATATTCAGGTCCAGCCCTATTGGTTACTGTTAATAACTCAAACATAAGAATGAAGATGTCTGTGTATGGTGTGAGTTACAGTAAATAAAGTGGCATAAATCTGTTTTAAAATTTTAAACTTCCGTTCAAAGGTTTGGAGTTGGAAAGATTTTTTTTATGTTTTTGAAGAGTCTTTTATGCTCACCAAGTTTGCATTTATTTGATCAAAAATACAGTAAAAAAAAAAAAACACTGTAATATTGTGAAATATTTCTATATGTTCTAATATATTGCTTTTGGTGCTCAAGACACATTTATTATTATCAATGTTGAAAACAGTTGTACTGCTTCATATTTTTGTATCTTATGTAAAAAAAATCTATTAAAATTCAGGATTCTATGATGAATCAAAAGTACAAACGAAAGAAAAATCCTTCTAAATATAAAAGAACAGCACAAAGAGTCCACATCCAAACTATCACGATAACACAGAGGAAGGATATCACTGAATCACTTTCAGAATGATTTTGTCTAGTTGATGAAAAATAAAAACATTGAGAGCCAATCAGAATCCATTCTGCTTTGAAAAGCTTGAGCATTTAAAGTAGCAGACGACAAAACTGCACCACCTGCTTAGAAACTTATCTTGGTATGAACATTAAAACATTTTTAATGTTAACAATTAACAACATCCTTTTACTTAAATGAATTGTGTCATTTTAAAGCATTTTTATTTGCTACTGTTCTTCAAAACAATAACATCATTAAAGCTGCTCAAAATGAAGAGAGAGCAAATCAAAGCAAAACCTAATGAACTCATGCTCCTTGTTGTCCAAAACTAAAATGATATACCTTCAGGCAGTCTATGATGTCACCGACAGGTGTGCAAAATAAATATACAATTTATTTAAAGATACCGACCACTAAAAACTCTTCGTTCAACACTAAGTCAGCTGTGGTCGTTCTGTGGCTTCCTGACATCCAGGTGTTTCCGTGGAAGCTCAGGTGCAGCGACTGACGGCTATGTGAGTCAGTTCTCATTACCTTGTTAAAAGGGGGACAGAGAGGGCTGACGGCCCCCTGGATGACTCATATTGACTCGCGGAGCTTTGGATGATAATTCATTCTGTAAAAATCACTGCCTGGGCCTTTCAATTACACCAGCACCCTCCAAAAAACAGCTCCAGCATGCCCACCCACCCTCAGGGAGTCTCTTCGTCGTTAAAAGCCGATGAGTCACGGCCGCCAGACAGAGAAGTGCCCGTTGAACAGGATTCTGTCAAACCTACTGTAAATCAACCAAGCTGTGAATGAGGAAACTCAGAGCAACAACAAAAATAATTCCAGCGACTCTCGGTAAGAGAAGAGAAACCTAATGATCACTGTGTGGGCGGACAACATATGGAGGGTTTTTTCACTTGGAATAGAGAGCAGCTACAATTGCGGTGATTAACTGGAACGTGAATTCATAAAACATTAAGGTATAAACAAACAGAAATAAAGCTATGAGTCAATGAGTAAAAATACTCGTGTATAATGTTAAAAGTACCAGATATTGCAAGAGTTGAATTCAAAAATATTGATTTCTGCCACACTATTTTTTTTTATTTAATATAAATCAATTAAATGAAATATTCACATTTTTTCTATGGTGTTAATTTTAAATGAACTTTTGATTGAATTATTAAGATACTTCTATAAACCATTACTGTGAAAAAACACTGAAACCCACATAAGGTCTGTTCACTTTGGCCTATTCTTACTGAAGTCAAAGATAGCATCCAGCCTGAGCACACTTAAGAGTGCGCTTTGTACACTCGGGCAAGGCATCCTCCCCTGGGTCTAACATGAGATGAAGCTGACATTTTGTTCCCAAAAAGCTGGCACTTAGAGCCTCATCTAGTCAAAAGCATCCCTGTCATTGGTCCCCTATCGGACGCTGATGACCGAACAGATTGAGTCAACAGTCTATCCCTATCTAGTGTCTCTGTCAGCCCATTACACTTGACCCTTAGTCTTGAACTCAGCGTCTTGCTTACAGCACAGTAGACTACTGAGACAACATACTGTACTGAAGGTGGGCTCATATGTACACTAAACAAACAAGCGGAACAAAGGAGGAGGTCTTATGTAAGGGGGCTGGAATGTCTGCGCATGTTTGGAGAACAAGCGTATTCATTGTTGAAATCGAGAAAGTTGTCCTCGTATGCTCGGATGTTTTAAAGTGGGATTGTGCGTATGCGTTTGTTTACCTTCATCATGTCCACCATTGGCCTCTTCCAATACCAGGCTGTTCATGCAGTTGATTTCCCATTCCTGAACATCAGTGTTCCAGAGTGCTGGGATCAGGACACGATGTTGGGAGCTGGACACATTTACAAACAAAAAACAGTATTACTTAACAGTATTGATTGTTGGGGGGGAAAAAATTATATTAACAAATGGTAACCGCCGGAGAATGCTAGGGTCTCAAAAAAGTTTCCAAAATATATTTTTTTAAGACTGTCAAACAAGTGCTCTTAACAAATTAATGAAATATGTGTTCATTAGGGGTGTAACGATACACCAATTCATATTGAACCGATACGGTACGGTTCTCGGTACACATTTTTAAACCGAACGGTTCGTTGGATTCCATTTTTCATGCCGACCAACATTTCGTTATTTCAAATGTAGGCGCGTCGTGCGTGGAACTCATAGACGCTGGCGTGACAGTTTTAGACCATTTTGACATATTCCTCTGGATCAAACAGCAGCCAGAAAATGAGAAACATTAAGAGATTAAACTAACATATTTCTTTCCCTTGCTGTTAAAAGAAAACACTATCGCTGTGAAACCAGCCCTCCTAACAGAAGTAAACCTTGTCTGTCTGTGTTTAATGTCACAGTGACTTACATAAGTCCCGAAGTGGCCTTGTCAGGGGAAAAAGCCGTACACAAACGGTCTGTCAAGGCTTTGAGAAAAGCAACACGTCAATGGGACTGACTTGGAGGAGGGGCCGAGCATTGTAAAAAATAAAAAAAAAGCGCAAGGACACCCCAGTCCCTTTCATGAAGGACTACTGTTCACACAACCTCTGATGACAGGTGACAGACCCCCTTGTCACTTAGGATACCAAAGAGCCAGCTAGCACTGAAGTGATGTCAACAGAGCCTCCCTGATTTAATGACTACATAAACACAACTCAACATGAGCTGTAGAGGTTAGTCATCCAAACGGTATAAACCAGCTTAGGTTGGTCGGTCTGATGGTTAAATGCACATCAAGCTTGTTTTATCAGCTCGATTTGATCGGTTAACACTTTTTTTGGGGGGAGGGATTTTGAGAGTTTCTTCTCTCTTTTCGGTTCCTCTCTTTGGCCTCCTGCGACTGCTTCGTTCTCAGACGGCTCAGTTCTCTGGCTAGCAAAACTCTGATACTCTGAATCAGAGGGGAGCATTTAGGCTTGACCTTGCCGACACTAACGTCCTGCCAGGCGAGCAACGTGAACCCGTTCCCTGATGTGTAGGAGCTTTGTGCTGACTGCCATCTGCATGTCAATGCCAAATAACCCCTTTGAAACTGGCAAATGGCTTCGTTTGCCCTTATAATCCTGTAAAGTGGCTGGCAAAGCGCAATGGGCTCTGCATGGGCACAAACATCTCTACCAAGCCACAACAAATATCGTTTTTAAATGTTAATTGAAGATCCATTCGCAAAGGTGAGTTTTAATATGGGCACATGACTATAAAAGAATTCCGGATCACATGACAATGGGTTCAGATTGGCATGACAACACGCAGTATTGAATAAAAGGCGACCATAGAAACAACTTAACAATAAGGCCTGGCTTCATGTGTATTTGAGATCCGCTATGTTAATCAAAGTAGTTCTCAGGGCCATGTCGCCATGGTGACTGTGACATCATCAAATAAACACATCTGCTATGAAATGACTCCAATCAATATCTGAACACATGTTCTCTTATTTTCTCAGTAAACAAGAAATATTTTCTTAACACTTTACTTGTGGTTAAAGGTGTGTGAGAATGACAATCATGACATGTCCCATTTTAGTCTGGGACTGGGCTTAAGCCTTCTGTGAAACCGGGTATGAATGCTTTATTTTTCATTAAATTAAACAAAATATTCTATTTTTAACATCAATAATAACATGAAAAATCATCTGCCAGACTGTAATATCGTTGCACTCACACATCCATAGGCACTCGCAGCAGAACGGGCAGCACGGCGGCCTCCTCAGTCATGTTCATGATACGAGACTCCAGTAGCAGGATGATGGTGAGGCCAGTGCGAAATACAGCCTGCAGCCCTGCAGAAAGTATGAAGAATTGATCGGATCATGTTCGGGAAACCTGTTTTAAAACAATCATTTGCTATTGGTGCAGTGGTGCAGAAATCACACACTTCGACTTTGATAAGCAAACATGGCAGCTTGACGCTTCACTGTAAAAATATTTTCAAGATTTGTTATCACAACGTCAAACCAACTTTATAATCATTTATTTAGTTGAGATAACTTATTATTTTGAGTTTCTGATGATTAAATTAATCTCCTTCATTGTATTAACTCACTTTTTCCAGTTCAAAAAACTTAACATTTTAAGGCAACCCAGGTTACTTACTTTTTTAAGTTAAACCAACAATATTTTTTTACAGTGTAGTAATCACAACATTTTTTCTTTTGTCAAATCAACTTAAATAATTTATTTAATTTAGATAACATACAATTTTAAATTACTGATGATTAAATTAATCTCCTTGATTGTATTAACTCACTTTTTCCAGTTCAATCAACTTAAAATTTTAAGGCAACCAGGTTACTTACTTTTTTAAGTTAAACCAACAATATTTTTTACAGTGTAGTAATCACAACATTTTTTCTTTTGTCAAATCAACTTAAATCATTTATTTAGTTCAGATAACATATAATTTTGAGTTTCTGATGATTAAATCATTCTCCTTCATTGTATTAACTCACTTTTTCCAGTTCAATCAACTTAAAATTTTAAGGCAACCAGGTTACTTACTTTTTTAACTTAAACCAACAATATTTTTTAACAGTGTTGGGATATTATTGTAGTACAAAAACAAGAAAAAGGGGTGTAATACCGTGCAGCATGATAAGATCCCAGATGGCCAAAACCGAGTCCCAGCACGGCAAGGAGGTGAAGAGGGTAAGAAACCACTGCATGATGAAATGCAAAGAAGACACCCCAAGAGTCTCCTAAAAGCAGACAGTAAACAACACACTCCTGTTAATATCTGAAAGAACAGGTCATATTTCACATCTATCAATTCAAATTTTTCATTTAAGTAAAACAAGCCTTTTTTGAGTTGCATGAGAGGAAAATGTGATGATTGTCACAATGCAAACTTAATAGTCTTAGTAAGTAAGTAAGTAAAAGTTTATTTATATAGCACCTTTCACAGGTATAGGGCCACAAAGTGCTTTACAACAAAAACAATTAATATCATAAAATACACACAATAAAAAAAAAAAAAAAAAAAAAACAGACAGTACATGATCACATCAACCCACAGGTAGCTAATTGAAACCCTGAACAAATAAATGTGTCTTAAGTCTGCATTTGAAGACATCAACAGAATCAGAGGAGCGCATAGACAGTGGAAGATCATTCATTAGTAAAGTCTTAAAACGTAACAGTTTGGGAAAAAAAGGCTTCATTATAGCATCTTATAGAAAAGATCATTTCTTTGTCTCTTGATTTGGGATGAAATAAGACTTAATCAATGCAGCACTTACATTTTTAGTGAATAATTACCCATATTTTAGTCTGTTCCTCACACAAAGCTCTTATAAACGTTGGAATACAAGTCAATACAGACAAACTTTTATGCTATTTTTGTGCCCTTTTTGAAGCTTGAAAGCTCTAATCTCCATCCATCATAATGGAATGGAATGGAACTTCATTACAGAGGCCATATTATGCCCTTTTACAGTCTTGATTTTGTTTTTGGGGTCAGCTAGGACAGGTTTCCATGCTTGAATGTTCAAAACACACATTATTTTTCACATATTTTATTGTTGGAGCACCTCTCTTCCCAGTCTGACTGTAAATGCCTATTCACACCAAGAACGATAACGATAACTATATAAGCATCCACACCAGTGGATGATATGAACATCTGCATGCGGAGTTTTGTCGTTTTCTTCTTTAAAAGTTCAAGCTCTTTAAAGCAGGATGGATTGGCTGTCTATGTTTTTTATCGTACATCAGCTAGAAAAATAGTTTGGATAATGATTCCGACGATTTTTTTTTTAATGAGGAGTATTGTGATGAGTACATTCACAGAAGAAAACTGAAGACTACAATCAAGGACTTTCAGGGAGTTCAGAAACATTGTGATATAGAGAATAACTCCCTTTGAAGTGGACTTTGTGCTTTAAATTTAAAAACCTTTTTTCATGCTCAAACAGCAACATTACACACTAAAGAAAATGTAGAAAGCATAAAAGGTCATCTTTAATGTTAGTTACCATATGAGAGTGAACAAATTACAGAATGCTTGATTATAACAATCTACTCTATTTCGTTTTAGGTTTGTCACTGCAATCTGGCCTGCCTGTAAGTTTACAGCATCATCTTTTGTCCTGTGCTGCAGTCTAATAGCTCAGCTTTTCAGACAGCTGTGCTGAGTCAACACACAGAGAGAAGGAAATCCCTTAAGAGTTCTCCAAGCAGCACAAATGCTCTGAGGGGCGGACAGCCACTATTGTAAAAAAAAAAAAAAAAAAAAACACAGAAGAGCTCATTTAAAAGCCTTTGGGAAAAGGTCTATAAGACACAGAGACAAATCTGTGAAGAACACTAAATGAGAGAGGCTTCTCAAGAGAAAGGCTGAGATCTAGAGGACTGAGAGGCTTTGTGTTTATATATATATATATATATATATATATATATACACACACTAAAAACCTGGAATGCAATTTCATTACATACAAATCTAATTAAAATATAGACCAGAATTCTCACCAAGTGCTGGAAGAGCAGAGGTTTCCTGTGTTTCAGGAGCTGGTGAAAAACCAAAGCTTGAAGTTGAATCCTGAAAATTCAAAATTCAAAATTAAAGATTCAAACAAAGTTTAAATTAGGTTTATTTGAAAGAAATTATCGACATGGGCCGAAAAAACAATCAACTTGGCTGATGTGTGATTTCCAAAATTTCAAACAGCTTTGTCAACAGATGATTTTAGTAAATATGGTGCAAATATTGTTTAAATTATAAAGTATATAAAGTAAATATAAAGTAAAGTAGGAACCATTTTATGTGCATGTTTAAAGTTCACACAGTAGAGTTAAGGTCTTACTTCTTCATAGAGGAATCAAAGAGCCCTGAGAGATACTTGGGCTTCTCTAACAGAGCAACCAGAGCCCAGAAAGCGTCTTCTTCAGACAGGATCATTAGGAGCACAGCAGCTATATAGGACATCCCTGAGAAAAACAAACAAACCTTGAGGCATCACATAGTCCCATTATGGCCTCAATGTCAAGGGCGAACTAGCTAAATTATCTCCACGGAAGGAAACCAAATTATGACCATGACATGCAATACCAACAAGATGGCACTTGACTGCCCTCTTGAGACTGAATATCAGTATATTCTGTACTAATATGTTTGAAAGCACCAATAAAGGCACAGGCACAAAGTTCAAAAAGATTGCCAGTGACCTCATTTGTGGAAGTACAGGCAGTTTATTACCTTGTACATATCCAATCTGGGGATTATATCGGGCAAATCCGGTAAGAACTCTGAAAAGTTTGGCCTGGCCCTCAATAGCCTCGGGACGATCCCCCATCAGAGTGCGATGGGTCGGAAATGACCTTCCTGTGTAGACAAATATGGAACGGAACTGTCACAACCTTTTAAAAATCTATATACAATGCAAAAGTTATAAAAAGAACACACACAAAGGGCAAATGTTTCAGTTGGGTATTATAGAAGAGTTAGGCTTTTTGTAGCTCAAAAGGTAGAGCATGGTTTCAGAAACTACAAGGATAAGGGTCTGATTCCCAGAAAACAATCAAACTTTGAATGTATACCCTGGTGCACTTTAGGTAAAAGGGCCTGCAAAATGCATTAGTAGAACTGTAAATCTACATAGGAAGTGTGTTTAGGCAGCGCCCCCATGTGGTTTTCCACATATTGGCAAAGTTCAAACAAAAACATTGCAATCAGGGAACAATTACAGCTTCCTCCTAAAAGTCACAGGACATTTCCCATTTTTTCATCTGAAAATGAGTCAGTAAAAGAGTTTTTAGCTGTTTAGGGTCTGTAAGATTTTTTTTTAATGGTTCAGAAAGTAATATGTTATGCTAACCAAATGTATGTACTAGAAAAAACAGTAAAAACAGTAATGTTGTGAAATGTTATTACAATTTAAAAAACTGTTTTCTATTTGAATACATTTTTAAAATGCAATTTATTCCTGTGATGGCAAAGTTAAATTTTCAGGACCTATTGCTATTTAACGCCATTTATTTGAAATAAAAAAATCTTTTGTAACAACATATTTGTCATTACTGTCACATTTCTATATATGTTGTACATATATGTACATATTGTACATATAATTGCATAATTTAAATTGAATAAAAAAAGCATCTTACATAATCCAAACTTAATATAATTTTTGACAACAAAATTATAAGAAATATTTTTTGAGCAGTAAATCAGCATATTAGAATGGTTTCTGGAGGATCATGTGACACTAAAGACTGGAGTAATGATGCTGAAAATAGCACAGGAATAAATTATATTTTAAAATATATTGACATTGAAAACAGTTATAACAAATTGTAATAATATTTCACATTATTCCAATTTTTTCTGTATTTTTATCAAATAAATGCAGCCTAAGCGACATTCAAAAATAAAAATAAAATATTATAAAATTATATTTTTATATTCATATAAAATTAATAAATATAACAATTTTATATAAAAATATAAAATTGTACAGACCACACTTTTAAATTAATTAATTAATTAAAATAAAAGTAGTCAAATATAGTACTCAACAGTTAAGTGTATGTTATAGAAAAATATCATGCAATTTCAGTGGACATCCAAAGGCAGAACTCACGTAGGTCGAGGGCGATCTGTTTGAAGAGTGTGAGGTCAGCACTGGGGAGATCCGACTGTCCGCTGCTGATCTCATTCTCTGTGTCCACTAGAGAGTCTATAGTGGAGATGATGCTGTACTCACTGACTCCAAGATCCACAAGAGGTCTACGGATCTCAGCCTGACATGCCTGAAGCAGATGGGTTAAAACAAGGCAAATGTCTCTGATTTGTTTGAACAATCATAACAAAATAATATATATTAAAGGGGTTGCACCTCATAATCAAAAGAGCTAGCAGCTCTGAGACTGTCGATATTTAGGAGGCATTTCCAAACTCGTCCACGTATCGCCGGAGGAATACCAATTCGAATAAACCTCTCAATCTGATTTGGGGGGAAAAGGAACGTGCAAATTATTAAACACATTAAAACATTGAGTAAATCATTTGAAATGCAGGGCTGGGTAAAGTTCAGTATAAGGTTAGATTTTTAATTGATAAACAGGAATTGGGTTTGGAATAAAAATAAAAAAACAACAAAAGAATGTAATTTATTAGTCAATTATTTAGACTAAATATGAATATTCATTCTGATGAGCTCATTAGTTGATTTCTCAAAAGATCAGATTTTAAAGAGTATAATTAAAGATGACGTACATTTTTGTGAATGCCAATTGAAATGCACTCCTGAATGGTGCATTACCCTAAGTACATGTCAAAATATTTCATGTCTTCTAGAGAAAGATGCACACCTGATTTCTGCAGATGAAACTGGATCCATTCCAGTAAGTGAGAAATTCACACAGCTCCTTCACTTTAACTGGATTAGGCTGAGGATAACTGTTGGAAACAGTTAAAGATGCTCCTAATGTTTTACTTGTCGAGTGCAGATCCCAGCATAGTGTTTATTCACGTGAAACTGAATTATATTTCCAGTTATGAAAATGAACTGAAAGCTGAACCAAGTAAAATACATGTATCGAAAACAAAAACCTGGAAGTAACTTAACATTTTATACGTAGTGTTAGCAATACTAGCATGTATGCAACGTTAGTCAACATCTAACCTGTAGTCATGACTTCTGTGTTGGAGTTTCCTGACTCTTTTCTTACTGAAAGCAAAGCCGAACTCATCGAAGCCTACAGAGCTGCTCCGCCGTGAAGTGTTGCTCTTCCCGCTGCTCGAGCTGCTCGCTCTCCTCAACATGGTTCTCGCAGGCAATCAGTGAATCCTCTAATCTGTGCCCTGTTCACTCCGACGCTTGAACTCAGCGCCATGATGAACACAATCAAACTACTCTTCAAAATAAAAGTCTGACTCTTGCCAAAAGAAAGTCACTAATAAAATATATATATAAAATAATTTATAAACATAAAAATAAACTTTATTAAACTTGACTTTTATAAAACATTATTTTATAACATATTTATGATAGGAATCTGCTTTCCTCTTGAGTCAGGATTGGTCAACTGGTGAAAGCTCAGAATATGCTTATTCTATATTTCTGAGTCATTTTCAATCCCTCTGGTTGGCCGAGGACCCCCAAAAATATAAGCAACATCACACGAGGAGAGTAGCCGTGCGATATGGCTCTAAATCAGCAAGGCTTAGATGTGATTGCGTTTAATGGTATTTTAATTTTTATGAGGGTTGTGTATTCCCTAGTTACCGACAACCAAGTTTTTAGGTTTTAACTTTTATATAACTTTTTCGTTTGTTTGAAATATTAATGTTGTTTTTTACATTTAAAACATTTTATTCCTCATATTATCAAAATTCATTAAATGTAATAAAAAAGAAATGCAATGCTTCATCAGAATTTAACCTATTAGTTGAGTCTCTTGGCTCAATTTTTTAATACACCCACAAGTTGATTTATGTGGCTATATGTCTATTTTGTACTCTTGATGGTTTAGATTTTAACCTCATATGCTTTTTTAAGCGTTGTAGCTGATTTGTGGCTTGTACACCTAAAAATATACTCTGCATTTATTTTATTTTTTTAAATTGTATTTCCCATCAATTTTCTATAGTGAAGTGTTGACTTTTCTCTCTTGACACTTAGTCTTTTACAATCATGTACTTTTTTTCTGTTTCGGCCAGTGCCACAAAAGGTACCAGGTTTCGCATTCATTCCGATAAAGTTACCATAACCATTTTCAGTCAAAAGTGACCAGAGGGTTAATGACATCATTTACATTACATCACATTTACAGTACAGATGGATTCATTAAATCCAGAGTGCTCTATTGTATACTGCACATTTCGTAAATGTCAAATATCGATACACCTCCATTATTGCACATAAAATGATTTCAAGCCACTCAAAGAAATATTACTGTATTACTGTAAAACACACTACAGGACATCAGAATAAACAGTTGATTAAAAACAAGCACTTTCTTCTGAACAGGCAGGAGAGGGCAGGTGTCCTTCAGTACCTGATAAAAAGGTAAACCACTTTCAATACATTGACTTCAATAGTTGACTAAAAAGTTTCAAATAAAGATGGAAGTAAAATAACTTTTACAGTGATTTGACATGCATTACTGTTTAAGGAACGTAACCTTCTATCGAAGGCCTGCCTTGAGCAGGATTGATGGGATTCCTGCAGTTACACAATAGATTCCTCAATGCCCTGTTCACTCTGTGGATCTGAGCCAACAACAGGGTTGGGGTGTCTCCTTTTCTCATCTCCTTTTTGCTGGAATAGTCTTCCAGCTTCAAGCATAGACTCTCTCGAACCTGCTCTAAAGCCTGTAATCCCATCCACAGAAGGTCCTTTTCCCTCTCCAAGTCCTTCAGTTTTTTCACCTGTAAATAAAAAAATATATTCATGCAATCTTTTTTTTTTTTTTTACATTTTTGCATGATAATCTGTGACTGTATTAGTGTTTGTGTGCACACAATTAGATTATGCAAAGTAGACAAAATAAAAATAGACCACAATGACTGTGTTAAGTAGCTGTGAACTATGAGTATTCCCATCAGAGCTGGATGGGAATGTCGTGATGAACTGTGATGGCTGACGTCTGTGTTGAGAATAAACTTTTAGTTTGAAAAAAATACTGATGTAACTTTTATAGTAGTTTTAAGATAAATAACCAACCTAAAATGTACAGTTAAACCTGAATTAACAGCAGTACATACATCACTTGACTGAATTATGATTTCTACCTTTTCTAAACAGTGTGATTGCTTAGTTTATCCAACAATATGGTCACTTCAATTCAATTTGAATTACTTCAAATTGTTTACTAAAAGCATTGCTAGAAAACCCCAATTGCATTACAAATTATAACGAACATACATAAGAAAGCAAACTAACCCAGAGGAAGAAATGCACTGCATCCAGACTGGTAACCCTGTTCCTGAGAGGGACAATGACCACTGTGTAAGATGCCATTGGAGTCACTAAAGAAAGCAAAGCTTTTCATTTAAGGAAACGAGGAGAGAAGCAGAGAGTAAGAGAGAGTGAAGAACAGAGGCTGAGGATTTGCTGAAACTCCACCCTAGTGACAGAGCGGCAGGTCAAAGTGTACAGTTGCACAACTACCAATGAAGAAATTCAAACAAAACTCTTCACAAACAATAAAACTTGTTTAAAATTACTTTACAAAATGAACAAAAGCAAACACATAAAAACAGCTTTAACATGAAAAA